AAGTCTAGACAATCAAAAATACTAAATATCAAGCACTGATTTGTGTCATTTCCTGATTTCCAGAGTATAAATGCTTGTACTGAAAATTATCAGTTTGTGAAAGTTACTAAGGGCTATCTCCAGCATATCCCTCATTCCTGTCCAATATCCTCCCTCTATATAATTCTTAGTCCACTTCCTCAGCTACATGATGTGTTTGCCCAAGATATGTTTGTAAATGAATTACATCAGTGAGCTTCCCATTTTAGCTGCATGCTACAGCTGGAAAATAAATGTTTTTCATCCATTTAGATTTTCCAATGTAGATAGTTAAATCATTGGTGGGGGCCAACCCATGAAGCAGAAAGAAAAAGGCATGTTATAATTTAATGTACCACTTTTGAAAAAAAAAGTATTTTCCTTCTTTTAAAAAAAATCTACTAAAGACGCTTAGTAAAAGATTAATGAATCTCAAAGCCTCCTTTCCCAACCTAACATAAGTAAATGATCTTTAAAACAATGCTTTATCCAAAAGAAGGTAAAATTAGACAAGAAATACCTCTCAAAAAACAGCACATTTTTGAAAGCTGTCACAACCTTAGGCAAAACTGTATTGCTCCTCCTATTGAAGCTATCATATGTAAAATATCAAATATGATCATAGGTTTTTTTCATTATTTTTTTCTTAATTTTTTTCTTCATTATTTTTCTCCCTTTGTATTTGGAGGATAGAAAAAAGGCCATTTTTTTCACACCTTAAATTCTGCCTATGGAGTGTTATATGCCTGGTAGTAGCTAATATGGCATTAAAAATTTTCATTAGCTAACCAGAGTATGTAAAACATGCTGTGGTCAGTATGCCATGGATTGGAAACTAAGAATACTTTTGAGTTTGTGGTTCTGGGTTTTGGATATTTGAGTTCTGAGCATCAGTCAGTACTACAAAACATGATGACTGTTGGTTTCTGTGCTTTCATTTAGTGGGTTGCAGATTTTCATACTGGACTATGGTATCATGGAACCTACAAGAAAAATAGAACAAGCACAGATAATGACTAAGAGAAGAAAGCAAATGTAATCCTTATTGATATAGTGTAGTGTGGGCATATGTTTAAAATTTGTGGAGCTTTTTCATAGTCCCTAGGAATAATAAAAGCTTCCTATAATCCCAAAGAGGTTAAAAGTTATTTCCCTTGAAGGACAGAATTCAATTCAGAAAGTATTTATTAAGTGCCCATGCATGCCCTAAACTTAAGAGTTAGAAATAAGGGGAGGGGGGGAGAGGAGAGAAAGAAAGGAAGGGAGGAAGGGAAGGAGAGAAGGAGGGAAGGAGAGAGGGAAGGGAGAGAAGGGAGAAAGGGAGGGAGACTTTGCCCTCATGAAGCTTATAAACTGCTTTTTCTTTGTTGTTGTTTTTTTGTTTGTTTGTTTCTTGTATCTTCCATTTCAATTTGTGATGTGCTCAGGTTACTCAATAAATGTTTTTGTCTAATTGGCAAACAAAAGATAGATAACTTTAACACCTCTTTGGGGCACTTATCACTAAATTTGTAAATGGAGGAAAACAAAAGAGAAAATGTATAATCTTATACACACAAAAGCTCACTGAGGGGAGGACCTCTGTCATCCTTGTATCCTTTATGCACTTATCACAGTTTTTGGATTATAAATGTTACTTTTTACAAAGGAAGCCAAGCTAAGTGACTCAGTAAAAATAATGTTAGAATTGGAGTCAGAAGACCCAAGTGTAAATTCTATCACTCTCTTCACCAAAAACTTTCAGGAGCTTCCTATTGTCTCTAGGATCAATATAAACTCCTCAGTTGACATTTAAACACCACTACCCCCAAGTTTGGCTCTAGCCAATCCTATTAGATTAATTTCATACAATTTCTCTTTAGAAATTCTACATTACAGCCAATTTCCCCATCTCTATATTACACCTGCCTTTGTGCAAAACTGATCCACATGTTAGATAGAATACAGTACTACTTCATGTTTACTACTCACTACCTAACATTAGCCTATATGCCACTCTGTGAAGCTTTCCCTCATCCTAATCCATACCCCCAGTTTCTCCTGCTTTCTCTCTTCCAATTTTTCCTCATGGAACTATTATCTCAGTGCATTGTATAGCATTTTGCACATGGTAGATAGCCTTTATGTAGGTTTTTTGAAAATTGAAATAAATTCTGAAATTCTGCATAGGAAATCATATAAAAGTATGAGACAATATTGCAAACCTTTGCTATTATGGAAAAATATACTAATTACAGTTTAAAAATACTTTTTCTAACCCATGAAATCCATCTCATTTTATAAAAATGGTGATATATACTAGCTGTGTACTACAGGAATAATTATTAATGCATTGCTGTGCCCCCATTTTCATTTTCCTGATAATATGAATGAGATGAGTTCAGAATATATTGATTTTGAGTGGTCAGTTAACTAGCATGTATTAAGTGCCTACTATGCACCATAGTCAGCTAAAAAAAAAATCTTCTTTTCACCCGCCTATTCACTAACCTGTGAAATACTTTGCAATCTAAAAAATAAATCCATTTGTTCAAGGTATTTGTAGCCAGGAAGACTAATTTTGCACATTGACTATGACCTACTGTAGCTGACACTTTGTAGTATATCTCATCTCAGAATCATCTCATTGATGACTCAAAAGTCATCTAGTCCAAATGAGATCTCAACATCCATCCTCTCTGCAATATCCATGAGAAATGGTCATGTAGCATCTCCTTGAAAACCTCCTAGGAATCTTCTATGGAGTAGGTAGGATTAAAACTGGAACTTGGAAGATAGATTCAAGTAAACATGAAGAAAGGACAGGGAAGGACATTTCTGGGAGGGAGAATGATTTGGGCAAAATGTAAAGGATGAATCATGTTCCATAACCGTGATAAGTTTCACATTAGTGAAGAGTTCATGAAGGGGGATAGTCTAAGACAAGGGTAGGGAACCGTTGGCCTCGAGGCCACACATAGCCCTCTAGGCTCTCAAGTGTGGCCTTTTGACTGAACTGTGAAGTTTGGAGTCAGTCAAAGGGCTGAACTTGAGGACCTAGTGGCCCCCAACCCTAGTTTAAGGTGGGTATGTCTTAGGTGTGGCTCTTCCCTCTGTTGGTATGAGCTCCAACCTATCTGTGCCTCCTTATGTTGTAAAAAATTTATCAATGCGATTTCATAGATACTTCATGAGAGACCTACTCTCAAGCCTGCTGAGGGTCTTTTTACATTTCATTGTCTGTTGTTGTTTGTCCAGGCCTATGATTTCACTGGTCTGAAATCACCCAGAGATGTTGGGTGAGGAAATCTAAATACTAAAATATTAGAACTAATATTTCTAATAATAAAAATGAGAGAAATAGAAAGCAGATCTGCAAATACTTTGCAATTTACATCTGTAGAGAAGTGTCTGTAGCACTGAGAGATTAAGAGACTTGCCCAGGGTCATAAAGGCAGTGTCAGAAACCAAGTACTCTTGACTCAGAGATTGGTCTTCTATCCACTATGCCATATTACCTCTCTTATCTTAAATGATGATGGGGTGGGAAAGGTTGTAGCCAGACTTTGGAATGGAGTTTATATGTGTATTCTGTTCACCATTCTCCATGAGATATGATTATAAATCAATCATCCCAATTTCTGTCTTGCCCATTTTATTCCCAAAGCCATCCCATTCAACTGACTGTTTCCTCCACTCACAAGGTCTGTGTCCCTCATCCAGGCATGGAAATCACTACTCAGTTACTACATGTAATCTCATCATCAACACCCCTGCTCTTCCATTGCTAGGATGATCTGGGTATTTTGGTAATACCTTAAGTACATTAAAAGCTTATGTAGGCCCTTTTCTTCTGTTCAAATTTTATCCTAAATTTTAAATAATTTAAGAGGGAAGGTCCTTAGTAGATAACTGAAATGGACCTAATTTTGGCATTAGAAGCTCAGAATAACAGGAAGGTTGCTACAAAAGTCACTCATTATAAATATCCCTTTTATAATTAACATTCCAACTGTTTTATTTAAACAGTACACATTGTTACACCTATTTAGTGGGTGTGTTTGCTGTTTTGTCAGTTCATTCTGGTAAGATATTTTAACCTTTATCTTTCTTATAAATCTCTTACAATTATAACTATTTATTTTCAGTTATAAGAGAAGTTTAAAACTGTTATAACTGTTGCATGTTTTGAAGGGTAAAAAGTGCTATCCCATGAAGATTGACTCTTGGGGAAAATATATTGAGTTGATAGGACTATGAGCCAACTAGGAGACCAAAAATTCAGTGGGATGAAGATGTATAAAGCTATTCAATCAGAATTGCAGTGGTAATCTACTGCAGCATATTAAATGTTACTCTCACTGAAAAAGAAAAGAAAGAAAAGAGTGTCAAAGTATCTTTTTAAATATACAAAAGAGAACAGGATTCTCAGAGTGATACACAGATAAACAGGCTAGCTTTGAAACTAATATGTCGGATGTATTATACACTAAAATATACAAACTGTACCTAGTGATAGTATTACATATAACTCTTTTTCTATTCTTTGTACATGAAAATAGTCATGTTTCTTGGTGGTTGTCAAATTCAAAATAACAAAAATAACCTTTTTAACCATTACCCCAAACCCTCAAGGGTTAATGATCATCTTTATGTACAAAACTTACCACCAATTAATGGCTAAAAATTGAGTCAAATGCTTTTAAGTAGGCTAACAAAACAAGACCATCTGTTGGAATTAAGGAGGTGTATTTTTAAGCAGTGTTGTTTATCCACCATAGTGTCACTTTATCTGTACATTTTGCATTCTGTATGTAATGCAACATTTTTAGTCTTGATTCTCACTTTTTCATAAGTGTGTCTTCCCAGCACCTATAGTTATTAATGAAATTCATATGAATTAATGAGGAAAAGATGCTGAATATTCAATTAGGTGCATTTTGAATTGACTAAATATTGCCTGGGTGTTGAAATAACCACTTTTTTTGATATTTCATTTGCAGACTACCCACATTGGGTAGAGAAGCTGAATGATACTCATTTAGACAGTGGCAGCCCTCTCAGATGGGAATGTAAAGCCACTGGAAAGCCCAGACCCACCTACCGTTGGTTGAAAAATGGAGTCCCTCTCTTGGCTCAGGTAATGTATGGAGTGAGGCAATAACTGCTCTGACATAATGTTTTTGTCCAGGATTTAATAAAGGAAAAACTAGTCCTCTCTTCTTTTTGTTGAGGTTGTTCATTTTGAAATTACGTGAGAGTAAAAGTTGATTTTTCTGTGTGCCTTTAAATGGTGATGGGCAGGGAAAATGAAAGGTCAATTCATGCCTGTAGCCTAATGTTATCATTGTTACTCATATCTTTCTGTAGCTTTTGATCACTAGTGTAGCATGGATGCTCTGGCCCCACCCTCTCAGAGTCAGGCCTTGTACATTTTTAACCCATCTCTGGTCTGCTGATGAGGTTGAGATTTTATTTTCTCCACAGATATCTTAAGCCACCACCTACCATGTTACCTCCAAATTTAGAGGTCCAGTGAGAAGAACCTCAGTTCCATTTAGTCACTTTAACATTAAATTAATTTTTACTAAATAATATTTTCTTCCAGGATAAAAGAAGAATAACCATACAGACATTTCCTCCCAACATCTTGGGTCATAATCTTTTTATGACCTCAGCTGGAGGGAAGAAGAACCAGGCTCATAGCTTAGCTCAGTTCCCATTTAGTATTAGTCCTAACAAGCTCAAGTCCAAAGCCCAGATTGAGTAATGCCTCCTACCCTGCTCTTGGAGCTTCTTTGCTGGGCTTACTACAACAACCAGACTGGAGTAATTGGTCAGATTGGACACTCCAGTTACTATTCCTAGAACAGAAAAGAATGAAGGAAGAGGCCCAAAGCTATGATTCTGGGAGCCATATGATCTGATGGAAGTAGGAGAGAAGGAGGCCCACAGACTCTCTCCCTTACCACATGATGTCACTGGCTGTGAGTGAAGGATTCCCTTATCTTCAGAATGAATGTGGTAAAAAGCCAGAACAGTGTTTAGTCAGGCAATTTCAAAGATGTAGACAATTCTGGCTACATAGCCAATGGAAGAAGGCTGCTCTCAACCATATGGTAAACCAACATAGACTATCTGTACATTCATCACTTCTATAGTCTTCCAGAAGCAGGCTCCCCACCATTTTCCACATGTGTGAAACCATCTTAGGTGGTCTAGGTGTGCACTAAGCCCCGATCATACCATACATATTTTGCTTCTTAAAGTAATGTGATTACTTGCCACTGCTATTTACTTGAAAAATTCATTAGGAAACAAAAATGATTTTTATAAGATTTTAGCTCTAAAAATGGACATTGAAGATTATGTAAACCAGCTCTCTTTATTTAACGGCTGAGATTTTTAAATGCATTGTCCAAAGTTTCAGAGTTGACAGTCAGAACTGAGACTAAAATTTGGGTTTCCTGATTCCCATTCTAGAGCTCTTTCTGCTAGGCCACTTTATATTTTGCACCTTTCTTTTTAAACAATTCCATTTATCTCTAGTTAACTAGAGATATTGATAAATTTGTTAACTAGCTTTGGTTTTTAGGATTTTTTTCATTTTTTTTTTGTATTTGGCTCATAGGGTTATAGATGTAGAGTTAGAAGGAACCTTAGAAGCCAATAAGTCTTAAACTGTCACTTCATAGATTAAAAAAAAAAACTGAGGACCAGAAAGGTTAAGTAATTTGCTTAAGGTGACATGAAAGTGTCTGAGTTAGAATGTGAACCTAGGATTTCCAGCCCTCTATTAACTTGTGTTTTATTTTTTGTGGGGGCTATTCACCCAGTCCCAGCCACCACAGTCCCAAAACCAGTTGGGTCATTCTTTATGTAATTGCTATGGTAAAACAAGAAAAATAAAATTGAAACAAGAATCTAAGTTGAGATATTGACTGTTGTGTGATTAGAGCAACTATGCCAAGAATACTAAGGCACTTGAGAAGTGACTGTTCTAATACCAAAGAAAGTATTCAAATAAAATAACTAAGTGGTTTGGTGGGTGGAGAGCTACACCTGGTGTCAGAAAGACCTGAGGTCAAATCTAACCCCAGATATTTACTAACTGTGTGACCCTAAACAAGTCATTTAATTTATATCTGCCTCAGTTTCCTCATCTTTAAAATGGTAATAATGATAATAGCACCTACCTTCCCAGCGTTGTTGTGAGAATCAAATAAGATAGTATTACTGCAAGGCTTTGCAGACTTTAAAATACTACATAAATACTAGCCATTGTTGTTGTTGTTGTTTTTATAAAATACATAATTTTTAAACTTTTATTATTTTTTTTAATACTTTAAATTCCAAACTGCCCACCTCTCTAATTGCTCACTTCACACTAATCAAGGTCACCATTTCACACACACACACACACACACTTAAAACCATATGTAGCATACTTCTATTTATCAGTTCTTTCTTGGGAGGTAGATAGCATATTTCTTCATAGGTCTTTTGTAGTTGGTTTGATATTACTCAGAATAGCTTAGCTGTTCACAGTTGTTCTTCAAACAATATTGCTGTTAGTATATCCAACATTCTCTTGGTTCTGCTCATTTCACTCTTCATTATTTCATGCAAGGCTTTCCATGTTTTTCTAAGATAACTGAACTCATCATTTCTTACAGGAGTAGAATTCCATCACAATTGTAACCACAGATTGTTTAAACATTCCCCAATTGATGGGCATCTCTTCAATTTCCATTTCCTCACCAATACAAAGAGAGTTCCTATAAATATTTTAGAATACATAGGTTCTTTTCCTTTTCCTCCTGATCACCTTGGGAAACAGACCTAATAGTGATTTCACTGGATCAAAGGGTATACACAGTTTTATAACTCTTTGGGCATAATTCCAGATTGTTCTCCAAAATGGTTGGATCAGTTCACAGTTCCACAGTTCCAAAGTGTATTTGTGTACCAATTTTTCCATATCCCCATCAACATTTGTCATTTTCCACTTCTATCATTTTAGTCAATCTGATATGTGTGAAATGATATCTCAAAGTTGTTTTAATTTGCAATTCTCTAATCAATAATGATTTAGAGCATTTTTCAAAAATATGTATATATGTAGAAATATGTATATATATGTGTGTGTATGTGTGTATAAATGTGTGTGTATATATATATATACATTATATATATCTATATGTATCTTTGATTTCTTCATCCAAAAACTGCATATTTATGTCCTTTGACCATTTATTAATTGGAGAAGGACTCATATTCTTACAAATTTGACACAGTTCTCTATATATTTCACATGAGACTTTTTATCCAAGAAACTCTTTATAATTTTTCCCCAATTTAATGCATAATTAATGGAGCTTATTACAGTGATGGAAATATCTGAGATTTTGTCTATAGCTCACCAAAACTACTGAGCAGAACCAGGAAAACATTGTACACAGTAACAGCAACATTGTGCAATGATCAATATATATTTTCCCACTTAATAGTATTTTTTCCAATTACATGTAAAGATTGTTTTTAATATTCACTTTCATAAGATTTTGATTTCCAAATTTTTTCCTCTCTCCTTTCCCCACCTCTTCCCCAATACAGAAAGCAATCTGATCTAGGTTATACATGTACAATTATACTGAATGTATTTCCACCTTAGTCATGTTATAAAAGAAGAATCAGAACAAAAGGGAAAAAACACAAGAAAGAAAAAACAAAAAACAAAATAAAGTGAAAATGTATGCTTACATCTGCATTCTGACTCCATAGTTCTTTCTGGGTGTGGATAGCATTTTCCATCACAAGTCTTTTGGAATTGTCTTGGAACATCGGATAGCTGAGAAGCACTAAGTCTATCATAGTTGATTATTGCACAATGTTGCTATTACTGTGGACAATGTTCTCCTGGTTCTCACTTCACTCAGCATCAGTTCATGCAAGTCTTTCCAGGATTTTGTGGAATCTGCCTACTCATCATTTCTTATAGCACAATAGTATTCCATTACATTCATATATCACAGCTTATTCAACCATTCCCCAATTGATGGGCATCCCTTCAATTTCCAATTCTTTGCCACCACAAAAAGAGCTGCTATAAATATTTTTGTACCTGTGGGTCCTTTTCCCCTTTTTTATGATCTTTTTGTGATACAGACCTGGTAGTGGTATTGCTGGATCAAAGGGTATGTACAATTTTATAACCCTTTGGGCACAGTTCCAAATTGCTCTCCAGAATGGTTGGATCAGTGAACTAATATATTTTTAAACAACAGTGATAGATTGAATTAAACTGTAGTTATTTAGTTTTGTGGGGAAAATCAATCCCAAGATTTTATTTAGATTACCAAAAGTTTCCCCACAATTTTAATCTCATTACTGGGATTGTAAAGCATAAACTCCATATGTGTCCTGACCACTGATATTCCATTGAAGATTATGTGCAAATAAACACACAAATACACACTTTGTTTCTTTTTCCCTCACATGTTTCACATAGCCACCAAACAACATAATAAAGGCAACTTGGTTTGGCAAGTCAATGTTACAAACTCTGAATAAATTAAACAAATAAGATGAAGGAGAAAAAATGTTTTTTTTTTTCTAGCTAAGCAGTTATTGTTCATTACCATAGAGGGGAAATCCTATATGAAAAAAAATTGGATAAATAGCAAAATAAATTTTATTGAAATGCAAAATTGTGCTTTAACCACATTGATTTTAATGGGTTTAGTTCATAGTTCTAACTAAGCACCCAGAAATTCTACATCCTCTATTTGCTTTGTAGAATGATATTATTTCTAATTCCATTACAGAGCAGGGTTGAGATGGTTAATGGTGTATTGATGATCCACAATGTGAATCAGTCGGATGCTGGAATGTATCAGTGTTTGGCAGAAAACAAATATGGATCCATTTATGCCAGTGCCGAGTTGAAGGTTTTAGGTAAGCGATTTGAAAGCAAAAAGCTACAAAAAGGCTGCTTCCTTCCTTTATTCAATTATCATTTGAAACCTTGAATATTTAATTTTTTCCTATGTTTTTTTTTCCTAAAGCTTTTCAGTTTTTGGTCTTTTTTAAAGTTTATGGACATTTTGCTCCACAAGAGCCTTACTGGGTCACAAATATAACTTTGGGGGCCATTGTTCCACCATCAGGAGAAAAAAAAACACTCGTTGCTTTTTTCAAGTTGGTGCTCCATGCCTTGTATTGGTATACTTAAGTATAAAAAGATTATATTTATTGCTATGCCTAATCTCCCACATGTAATGGTCTGATTCATGTTTGTTGCTAAAAGTCTAATACACTATGTCTTGTAGAAAAATGCCTTTCAGTTTCTTTTTAAGATTCAACAGAATGGTGCTAGAATCTAAAGGAAAACAACATTGAGATGAATAAAGTAGTCAGGTCACTATAAACAACTCCCCTTCCCAGCTCAGGAAGATTAATATCATTTCATATGAAGTCTATTTTTTATATGTAAATAATATATTTATCACTTAAAGAACATTCAATTCTATTTAACTTTAATGGCTTAAGCTAAGACCCTGCTAAAGCAAAAGATGTCTGATCTCCTCTGCATAGAGAGCAAAACACAAATTCCAAACCCTCAACCCCAAACCTCACAAACATACATAAACTCAAAGGAAGCTCTCTCTGGGTATTTATAGGAGCTCAGTCCAGTGCCATTAGGCTGAAAAATAAGATTCAAAGTACTCCTGACAAGAGAAAAGGACATGTTTGTTTATCAGTCTCAGACTTAATACTCATGACTTTCTTGGCAATTGCACATATTCTGGGAGGGGGGTTGTTACTCACTTCATTTCCCTTCCCCAAAGCAAGCTCAGGGTTGCCATTTTTTAGTCCCATAACAGTGAAAGCTTTGGGGGAAGAAGGGCTGCCTCTAGTTGTGTGTGACTCATTGTTGGAAGATTCCATTTTGAGATGGCAAAAATCTCTTTATTGTCTATGAAGCTAGAGGAAGTGATGACTGGAATATACAGAAGGGAACAGTCGGCCTCCTCACTCTCTTCCTTTTTATCTGCAAATCATGTTGGCACATGCGCTTGATTTAGCTTACATGTTCGAAAAGCCACATGGAGAATAGAGTGGGGAGTAGAGCCAGCTGCCCTTCCCCGGTCAGACTCATAGGAAGCTGTTGGGAATAGTGTTAACTTGAATTTCAATTCAGAGCATGCTCCACTGGGAGCTGGAGAGGATGACTATCCCTCCATCTACTTGTCTGCAAGTTATTTTATAGAAAAACACCTTTTGCTAGTGATTGTAATTTTACTTTTATATCAGTAGTGAGTTAACTGAATGATCTAATAGGTTGCCAAATATAGCAAGTAATATGACCTTCTGCAAGGGATAAGTAGCAAGGCTTTTCTTAAATGACAAGTTAATTAAATTCTAGTCTTTGCATTTAAACTTGAAGTTAAGCTAAGGTTCATTTTATTTGTATTATAATTTTGTTCCAAAGAGAAATTGCAAAATCCTGAGGAATGATTGGTTAAAATTCATTGTCGTGAACATCCATGACTGTTTCTCTCAAAAATAAATACATTTCTTTTTTTTTAAACAGCCTCAGCTCCCATATTTGCACTTAATCAACTGAAGAAAACAATAGTAATTACCAAAGGCCAAGAAGTTCTCATAGAGTGCAAACCTCAAGGTTCTCCAAAACCAACAATTTCCTGGAAGAAGGGAGACAAAGCAATAAGAGAGAGCAAGAGGTCAGAAGTCTGTTTAATAATTTAATCACTATATTATCAGTTTTGTGTTTTTATACAAGTGACTCACACCTAGGTATAGGACAGAATACTTCGGTGAATGCATGATAAAAGGATTGATAAGTTGGCTTGAATAAGGACATTTCTAAATGGTGACTGTATTAGAAACAAAAGTTCTAATTCAATCCAATCAGTCTCCTTCATCTGTACGGGGCAGTTGCAGCCCAAACTGAAGGTGTCAGTGAGTCACAATAGTGCATACCTGCTGTTTTAAGGCAATGTGTTATATTTGCACTGGAATACTATTTGGTGACATTCATGGGATGATGAAAGTTCCAGTTCAGACCAGAAAGGCATTATAGAGATTGGAAATGCAGTTCATTTTTACTTGCACACTATAGAAATAGAATTACTTTTCCCCAATAGGTATGATCAAACTACATCTGTGGAAGTGAGCTCATTTCTTGAGCTGAATTAATGTAAATTTTTTTAGAGGTGAATAATATTTCCTGTTTAATGAAAATAAATCATTTGTAATAATTGTATTAGCATTTGTTTTAGGAAATTGAAAATATTTACTGCAGTATTAAAGTACATATGCTTTATCTATACAAGTCATCTCTTTAGAATTGATATTACTTGCTTTTATATTTGGGAGTGAGAATAAGTGATGTTCTTTTTGTTTCACTCCACCATAAAGTGTAGCTCAGGAACTGTTTGGAAATTTATGGCAGCTTATTAAAATCGGGCTTTCTGGAAAAGCAGATATTATACAGATTATGTGTGTGTGTTTTGTTTTGTTTTGTTTCTTGTTTTTTGAAGCTAAAATTATCCAAGTATAATCTACTAATTAATGGAAGCCACAAAATATAGAGTTTGTGATCTTTATTCAAAAAATAAAGTAAAAGTGCCACTTTTGCTTGAGTCAGTTTTAATCAAGTCATTGCCATTGCGTAGAACCATTCCAAGAGGTTGAATCCCACATTCTTTCTGTTGCTTTGTCAATGAGTAGGAAAGTTGGATTTAATTCTCCTTAGAGAGGAGAGTTTTTGTGACATCTCATTTGAAGGTGTGATAGAGATAGAACAGAGATTGCACTTCCTCCCTCATCCTATAGGATATTCTCAAATGTTTAAGTTATCCTATTGTTTTCTGAAGTAGTAAAATTCTGAGCTCTAGGTAGGGTGAACTTGGATTGGCATCTGGCAGAGCATATTGAACATATTCAAAGGACTGGGTCATCACTGGCCAGTGCCAACACCTCCCTAGGATATGTGAAACTATCCTTGCCTTTAAACATGTTTGTCGAAAGATTTTGGAGTAGAATTAAAATTGGTTTAGGTTTAAATTAACTTTGGCTATTCTGCTTTCTTCAATATCTCTCCAAAATGGAGTAACTTCATATGCTGAAAGGCAGCTTGTCATTGTGAATAGAGAGCTGGTCTTGAAGTCAGGAGGTCCTGGGTTCAAATCCTGTTTCTGACAGCTACTGAATGTGTGACCAGGACAAGTAACTTTGCAGAGAAAATGCTAATCTAAAATGGTAGAGGGAGTTTTTCATTGGAGTTCCCAACACTTTTGAAATTTTTTAAAAAAACATTTTAAAAAATAGTACACAGCTTTCACATGGGGAAAAAATGTGGTTTGAAGTTGGTCAGGTGTATTGTTTCTCTTTCTCACAGAACATAAGTTACCAGGGATGGCAGACTTAGATAATCTGAGTCCTCAATTTTGTTTTGACTTCAAGATGAAATTTTAGAAAATTTTTATTTTAATTCTTTTTGGGAGCATAAGTTAAGAGAGGAAGAAATATAGGTCTGAAATTTCATCAGGAGAATTCCCTGAGGAAATTCCCTACACAAATGCATAACTACAAATGTAGGGTAATTTATGGCCTTTCTAGATCACTGAAAGGTTTAATTATTTACCCAATATTACATAGTATTTGTCAGCTTTAAAGACTGTTCCTTTATCTGTTCTACCATGCTGCCTCTTTCCTAACAATGCCACAAATATATGTTTGTTTACCATTTTAAACCTGATGTTGGATCTCTGCATATAGTTTTGGTGGTTGTGGCTTCTTTCTTACTGGGCTGAACAGGAATAGGGGAAGGTGTTCTCTGGAGGGATCCCCTTTGCGCTTTTGAGAAAAGTTAGATTTAAATCCTTTGGAAGATCTAGCTGTTTTAGTTGACTGATTCTTAAGAACTCATCTCTGTGAGTGATACATTACTGCACTAAATCAATAGAGTTGTATTAAATTGAGAATATAATTATAGCATTCTGTCAGGACAATACAACAAATTCACAATTCTATGAGCACTATTGAATCAAGTCTGAAAGAGGAAATTTTACTATGCTGTCAGACATAATAGATTTAGTCTCTATTAATAATTGTCACTACAAAGTCAATGTAAATAATGCTGTTCCAAAGATAAGTCTTTCTAATTAGTGTTGAACTGACTTCAGAAAGTCAACATGTTTGAATCAGCTAAAAGTGGATTCTGTGCCAACACAGCAGAATCCCACCATTAAAAGGACCATAGATCTGATATGCTGAAGCCTGTCTGCAAAGTCATTCGAAGTAATGGAGAAATGGTCATCTAATCCTTGTTTCTGCATAATAAAAAATGCCAAGATATTTGGAAATCTCTACATGTTCTCATTGTAGGAAACTACAGTTTATTGCTATAATAAATTCAGTTTTTCTATGTTGTAGAAATTTTCAAACTAAGAATAGGTTATAAGTCATATGTAAACAGATGTTCAGGCTAAAAAAATGGCTAGAGGAATAGAATGGTGTCAGTGTAAATAACTTTAACCTCTAAGGGCGTCATTTTTATCATTTGTAAAATAAAGGGGTTGGCCTGGATGATGTCTAATGTCCCAACTCTACATCTATAATCCTCTCATTTTTATTTGCGTAACTACTAAAAGTGAATATAACCTGATTATGTAGAAATGAAATAATTAATTTTTTCAAGGCTCAGAAAATATCATTTTGCATCCATTTCACACTTGAGGTGAAAGTTCAGGTCAATCCTTATTGTATTCAAATATATACACTACTCTTACAACCTTTATCTATTGGAAAACCAATTTCAAAGGAATTAAGCCCATCCTATATAAGCTGGTTCCAAAAAACAACTATTTTGAGTTAATTTGAAAGAAGAAATTCAAAATCAAATTTAGTTTACCATGTGGGCAAAAGAAATAATTCTATGTAAGGAAAGGAGAGCAATGAAGAAGAAATGCATTATAATAGTAGTATCTAAATATTAAACACATGCCATTATTATCAAAACCAGAAGGAAACACTTTCAGAAAAGATTGCCATAGCTTAAGGCACTAAGCAGTACAATGAAAATTTGAATTGCAGAAAGACATGTAATCTAGTGATTAAGGCACATGACAAAAAAATCAAAAAGCTTTCGATTTTAATTCAAAATCTACAACTTGCCATATTGTGCACTTTTGGACAGTTTATTTAGGTTATGTCTATATAGTACCAAAACATCTGATTCACAGACAAATTTTTTAAATAGTCAGTCAATGGTTCATTTTTTCTATCATTTCCCCTCAAAACTCAATTTTCTGGTTATTTTGGTATTGTGCAACCACAACCTACTTCTTATTTCTGTTTTTCATGTTATGGAAAAACAAACAAACAAACTACACAACAGATTCATTATGAGTGGCCTGTGGCACCATAGCCACCCTTACAGTTCATGTGTAAAACATCTAGACACATGTATGTGAATCTAAGAAATGTAACTGAAGACTACTTTAATAAACCATTTTAAAGAAGTTTAATGTCTCCTCTGCCTTCAGAAGGTCCCTTCCATATGGCTTTTCAGGTTCTTTTAACACTAGTGACTATATTTTATGATACAAATAATAAGCTCAAGGAGCAGTGAGTAGTAAAATGTTTCATAAGCTTTTTTTTCCATTTAAGGGATTTTTTTTTATCTCCTATACACTCACTCAAAGTATTCTGCTCATTAAACTCATATTGGATTTTCACTTCAGCTCATTATTTCCATTACTTGGCCATTAAGTATTGTTAAAATAAAATCATCCAAAAGCACTCCAGCAGTGCACAAATATTGTCTCCATTATTACGTGTTCAGCATCCTGTATTTGTTGTAGACAAAGACAGCCTCCACTAATGTGAAGACTGGAACTGGAGTCAAAGCAGAATTTCTTTTGTTTTCTTTTATTCTACAAATGAGTACTACACCAAGAAAGGAATTGAGCAGTGATGGAAGTTCATTAGAATGTTGTTATGTTCCACATCTGGCTTCAGATTATTTGCATTTATTGAAATCCCAATGTAGTTTAAGCTGCAGTTTTCACTTCTAGGGGTTTTATCAATTAGTGGGATAATGGCCAGTAATTTGAAGGGGGGTCACTGAGAAATCTGGCATTAAGAAATTATCCCATGATGGGGCAGCATTATAACATAATTTTGCTTTGTAGGGGGCATGAATCTAAACAAAGACTAGTGCATCATTCTTTAATGGTTCCCCTCCTCTCCAGGAGAGTTTCAGTATGAGAAAGTTGAAAAGTGGCTTGAGCAGAATTATTTTCAACTTACTCATTTAGCATTCTGAGAAAATTGTACTTGAAGTACCCATCAGTTCACTTTCATTGGGAATTCACGTTGTGGTTTATTAGGCACCGATGATTAAGTTCATACTGACTAACACTGCATATGGAAAAATATATTCTTCATGTGAGCCCAAGAGGACAATGCTGCTAGAAAAAAAGAAGTCATCTTACCTTTTCTGGAGAAGGGAAGGAATTCATGATTATAATTAAAGTCTTGTTTCTGTCCCTCTGTTTTAACTTACATGCTGTGTTTGCTAATGAACAAGCTGTTTTGTTGTTTCCTTTGTGACAATGTCTTTTAAATATTAAAAACATAAAACAATGTAGACCCCAGCTACTCTGAATTTCCTTGGCACTCAGAAACTATACAAAGGAAAAAAGAGAAATAACTA